AGTAAACATTTTTCAAGATAACTACGGATTCATTTTGAGTGCTAGTCAAGATCAACCTTGGAAGATACTGTTGTTGTGCTAGCTTTCTTTATTTACTATGTAAGACCTCGCCATTGTAAATTTGTCCTATCAATAGATGTATATATGTTTTGTCTGTCACATCTCAGGAATAACAGTACTGTAAATTCTTGGGGTGTGACACAAACTATCTGAGAAAACCAAAAAACTTAGAAAAGCTATAAAGGAAGATCCATTCCGATGGACAAAAATAATGCTCAAGAAATAAGACATCTCAAAGCAGAAGTACAAACTTTGCCCCGCTTTGGTACATATATATGGCGGGCCTTCTATTCTTTCTACTGACACCTCATTTGATACTTGGGCAGTTGTTTTGCTAAAAAAAGAAAATAAAGAAAAAAAAAAATATGCATACACTAGTGGCCAATTCAAGAGCATTAATTAAACTATTGGCTCGCAGAAAAAGAAATATTGGCTGTGGTAAGAGAATCAAAAAATTTCACTCCAGTTTAATAAAATAAACATTTATCCTTAGAATTGACTCTTCAAATTTGGTTAGTGTAATGAAAAAAAAACCCACCAGTAGTCCAAATTTATAGAGGTATACATGGTGACAATTCATCCTTTCTCAATATAATTTTTCAATTGAAAAAGTTACAGGAACAATAAATTTTCTAGATGCCCTCACAACATAACTGAAGATGATACAAACATTACACAGGGATGAGTGATTAACATGGCCACTAAAAACCTCAAAAAAAAGACATATAAATTTTGTGAATGGATAAGGAGTATTTTATCTCTTGAACTCGAGAATACTGATTCAACAGCAGGGTCGTATCCTGATATAGATTGTTTCCTTACTTCCTCCGAAAGAATTAGTATAGTCATAAATAATTTCAGATGGACATCCTTGGAGCCTGAATTAATTCCCTGGCTGATTCAAAAGGAAGTTTTGGATGATTTAATAATTTTTAGAAGAGAGTTATATCCTAACAATATTGTCAAAGATTTCATGACAAAGTTATTAGGATATAGAAATTGGGAAACAGATTTGTGCAAATATTTCCAAATGAATAATTCCATTAAGCAGAGATTTATTCATAGATATAAATATGATATGTTCTATAACCATGAAGCAAAAAATATAAAGCCACCCACAATAATAAAACTAATAGACCATTTCTATAAAAAAAGTTAAAAAAAATGCTATAGTTGGCAAATCAGAGAATATTTCTGCATGTTACACCAAGAAGAATATTGTAGCATCCTAAGTTTTGAAGATGAAGCATAAGAATCACCATAGTCATTTCATAATTTGTTTGTATCCCCAGATAAAAAGTAGCCTATGTTTTTCTTTTTATTGGTTTTGTTTTAAGAGAGTGGTTTTACTTTTCATAAATAGTTTTGCTTTTTGAAATGATAGATGTAATGTGTGTTTTTGCTTTTTTAGTAGATGTAATAATGAGTGATGAATGGATGTATTGTATGCCTTTATTTTTAAATGGCGGTATTCTTTTCCGCCCATGGCTCTAGCCCATTGTTTTGTAAATCACAATGTTGTATTTTGTGTTATTTTTTGCTTTTCTTTGGTTATAAATATGTATTTGCTTTCATCAAAAGAGATATAAGTGAGCCCAACAAAGTCATGATGCTGTAATAGTTCATTGGTGAACTCGTCCAAACCAATTCCTGAACGAACCTGAGGATATCAAAGCTCTATTTTACTGTAAAAGTAATACCAGTTAGAAACATCATCATGTGTTGTTAACTATTCCAGTAGCTAATATGATCGAGAAGGCCAACGAGTCGCAACCCTTAAAAAGATATATCGGGATATCGAAGCTCTATTTTACTGTAAGAGTAATACCAGTTAGAGACACAATCAGGTGCTGTTGACTGTTCCGGTAGCTGATTTGACTAAGAGGGCCAACAAATCGTAGCTCTTAAAAGGATATCTCGATAGACGATTGGCGATTGAGCAAAATATTCATTCCACCTCCTTTGTCTATCTTTCCATTTAGTTTTTTTCTACCTCCCCTATTGTATACAAAAACATATAACCCCCCAGACAAAAAAAAGAAAAAAGAAAAAAAAAGAGAATATGATGATGAGTTTTTATCCTCTCTTATTAGTTCATCTCTCTCTTTCTCAATTAATTCGTCGGAGAAGCTGCAAAACTATTTTGACTCTCTTTCTCAAGTTTTAATATTTTTATGTTATTTTTTATCTTTTGGGTAAGTTAAGGATTATCCAATCCTTCGCTCTTTCTCTTTTCTATCTAAATTACTTTTTGTCTTTTTGCTCTCTCGCTCTCTAAATTTAGTTCTAGAGCTCCTCCCTCGTTATGTGAACCACTCTCCCACTTTGGTGTCCACAAAATGAGCTAGTGCCAAAGAGACCAACATGTAAAATCTTGCCACTTTGGTACGTACTTTAATTTTTTTTATAAAAAAAGTTTATATAAAGCCGAGGCTTTAACAATCAAATTAGAACCCACCTCAATAATTTCACTAGAAGAAGTTGTTTTAATGCCCAAATATCCTCAAATTGATCATCTCAACAACAAGATGCATAAACATGAGAAAAAAATAGATTTCAAGTTTTGGAAATAGTGCATCTTATAACGCATTTTTGGACCGTTAATTTTCAAGATTTTCATAGACCTACTAGATCTACACTATTTTTGAAGCTTTAAATTTTATAATTAAAAATGGAAATATATTTTAAAGCTATCACAAATATTTCCACTATTGAAACCACATTTCTCGACACTATGTGAAGGCGCGCTATACTTTGATTATTTAGAGCCTCGGCACTATACAAACCGCACCCCTTTTATTCCTATCTCACAAAAGATACAAATCCATCACTTTACCATATCTTACGCGTATTTTCCACTTTAGAACCCTAGAACCTACCATTCTGCCTACCAAAAGGACACAAATGTCATTCAAGAAAAAGCGTTCATGTCTGCCCAAACTCCTCGCAAATCATAATAAAATAATACCAGGCAAAATGGGCAAGAAGTACGGTATAATTTTTTATAAAATTTAGAGAAAGTTATATATAAATATATATTATATTTTGTATTATTACGGATATATCAAATAGTTTATGTTATTACATATATATATCCGTCTTTTATCTTTTATAACACAATTTTTTAAAAAGACAAGTTTACCATTTTTCGGAGGTTGAATAACTGAATTGGAAGGTTTTTTGGATTTTCAACATTCGAAAGTAGGCCGAAAGTTTAACGTTACATCCCTATTTTCGGGTGTTCAACATCCAAATTGAAAGATTTTTTAGATGTTCAATACCTAAAAATGGTTTCGGATGTTGGATATCCGAAAATGTCATATTATCAGTGTTCATCATCTGAAAATGATTGCGAAATTCCAAAGACTTTCTGGAAATTCAAAGTCATATTTTCGGATGTTGAACATCCGAAAATATGACATTTTCGGATGTCCAACATCCGAAACCATTTTCGGATGTTCAATATCAGAAAAAATCCAAAAATATGACATTTTCACACGTTCAACATCCGAAACCATTTTCACAAGGACTACAATGTACTAACATAATCCTTTAATTCGGATGTTGAATACTCGAAAATGGGAATATGAATATTAACCTTTCGGCCTATTTTCGGATGTTGAACATCCGAAAATTGTTCGAATTCAGTTGTTCAAATTTCGAAACAAAATAAAATCATCTTTTTTTAAAAATTGTCTTATAAAACATAAAAAACAAAAATACATATAATAATAAAAACTATTTGATAAATCCATAATAATGCAAAATATAACAAACAAATACGTAATAATGAAAACTATTTGGTAAATTAGTAATAATGAAAACTATTTGATAAATTAGTAATAAAGCAAATATAACGGATATTTATGTTACCAGGAAATCTTTCATTTTTATTATTATTTCGAGGTGTATCATAGTGCGTCCTCTTCATTTTTGTCAATTACATTGTAAACGAGGGTTTAACCGAACGAGAGGGAAAGAGAGAGAATTGCAGGTTCCAAGAGCGAAGAAAATTTAAATTTCGTCCCCAAAATCTACAGGTCTTATCTACCAGTCTCTCTCTCTCACCCCTGCATCTTTCAATCTGCGTTTATTTTCGGTAAATTACAAAAACCAGGTAAATTCACTGGACAAAACCTCCATTTCATTCGTGAAACCCTAGTGTTCTTTTACCAACTTGTAAGCTCAATGAGAATCTAGAATTGTTTTTCCAGATCGGTTCATGGCAACAACTCTGAAGAAATTGCAGAGAAATCAATGGAAGTAGTTGTTGGGATATTAGAATAGCAGTTTGTATTCCACATGGAGCCCTGATTTTCATCGTCTTGGTGGAAACGCCCTTTCAAGTTGGGTTTGTTTATGCTGCTCTAACATTGAAATTGCGAAGAAATTTCACTTCTAAAGTTCCCGTTTTTTTTTTTTGGGTATACGATTAAGGAATCAAATCTATGTGGATTGAATCGACTGCTTGCCTCTCTTTGTACTTGGTATACTTTCAGATTTCATGTGGTGAGAAACAGAGAAGTGGTTAATTGATTTCTTTTCAACTGCTTATCAAAATTTTGTCCCAGAAAAAAAAAAGAAGAAATTCATTTGGGCAGCTTAGCAATGCACTTATCTTTCTCAGCCCAATGAGAATAGTCTTCGGATTCATTGAGTTTTTCAGGGATAAAGGAAGAAGTGAGTTTTTTCATTTTCTTACTCCTATTTACAAGTTTTATGGCTGAAAACCATGAAAGCATAATCAAGGATTGAAAGAAAGGAAAGAAATCCCTGGACGGGTCTGTTCAAGTGAACATGCATTTGATTCAGCAATAACCATGATCAATGGTGAGGATATCAGCTCAGACTCATTAGGCATCACCTATGTTGATTTATGATCCCTCACTATGGTTGGATAAAAAGATGGATACTTTGTCACCCAGAACAGTTCACATTGAATCACCAGATTCATCAAATTATTCTTCTTGTGGAGAGTCAGAATTAGATAGATATTGTAGTGCAAATTCTTTGGCAGGATCTTTTGGGACCTGCAATGACTTCTTGGGTTCGGAAACTGGGTCCGTCAAGAGCTTTCAAGGAAGTTTTAGATTGGACCGATCTTTGAATCATGGATATGAAAGCGAGGGTTCATATCACCCAAGAAATACGGGAGAATTTGATAATTCAGAGTTGGGTGTTACGAGGTCGACTGGTTTTGAGGTTCAGTCTAGTTTGGGGCCAGAATTGTCAGAGGAAATGAGCAGGGGCTATTTGGACAATGATAACACCATGGGAGCTAGATCGGGATCAGAAGAGGTGTCGCTAGGTACTGGAAATGATTTGAATAATTCGTCGAATTCCCATGATGATGTTGCTTTCGAGGCTGTGCACACAGATGGTAAGGAGTAGAGAATTTAGAATATAGTTTTGCTCTCCAACATAGAATGCTAGTATCATGGAGTTATAATATCGCCGGTGAATAGAGAGTGTGATATTTATGTAGTTCTTCTTGGTTTTTGAAGTAGGGCATGTCTCAATTTCCTTTAAAAAATTCATGCTTTTCATTTCTCCTTTTATGATGATTTCAAGAGTGGAATAAGTGCTAGTAGAAGTAAAGGATTCTGCAATTTGCTTATTTTTCCCATGTATTTACACTGATTATAGAGATGAATGTTCTTCTACTGTATAACATAACTAAGATTAGCAGAGTTGCTTACTCATCATAGGAGTGATAGCTACAGAGAATAATATTTTTATTTTGTGAAATTTTAATAACAGGTATTGTCCAATTTTCAGTAAACAACCATTTTTATTTTATTCTTCTTGTTTTTGTATGATTATTCGAGGCTTGAAGAATTGCCTAGTGTATAAGGATTACAGTTTGTAGTTAATTGTGCGTGCATGCGTTTTTCTTTTTGTCAATAATGATTTATATAGCAGAAGATCGGACAACTCCTCACCTCAATAAAAGTCATAGATTATACAGGAGTTCCAATATTTTTGGCAAAAGTGGAGTTCTGTTTATTTATTTCTTTCTAAGTGTTTTAGAGGAATTTATCAAATATATTATTCTGGAGTGGGCTCATCCCCATTTTTGGCAAACAATCAAATGTTATTCTTTAGCATGTTTGGAGAACTATTCACCATAAAGAAGGTTATGGTACAGTTATAGAATTTTTGTTTATTGATTTTTTTAATGAGTTTAAAGGTGAGCTATCTAAATTGGTATTATATAAAACCAACTTTTCCTTTTCTCCTGTTTTTTTGAAGTGATTTCAGAAGTAGGAGAGTCCCTCACTCAAACAAATTGCAAGGATCATCAATTGTGTGTACTTATCTAGTGTTTATGTATTTTTAGATTCAGCAGGCTTATAACAACATTTCACACATTTGAGTTTTTTTTTTCCTGAAATAATGATTTATATAGTAGGAGAAATTGTTCACTCTGTTTTACTCGGAAATCATGGTCAGCTTCTTTGGGAAGAAATGCTGAGATGGGTTCTTTCATGGATGTATCATCACAACATGGCAATGGAATTGATGGGTCATCGACCTCCAGAAAGAAGATGGGTATATGTGTTGGATCCAGCACAGGAACACCTTCCATGTCTGGTAACTCTTCTCAATGTGGTAGTGTCGAGGACTTGGGTTCAGAACTCGATTATGGGACTGATGAAGAAAATAGGGTTTATGCACATGCTACTTGTAGCAGCTTTCGACAAATAAAGGAAAAAGAGAACCCATTGCTTATGAATTCTGCTGTGGCCTTTGGTTGCGATGATTGGGATGAATTTGAACTAGAGACTGGGGAAAATGGCTTAAAAGTGCTGACTTTGCTTACACCTGAAACTTTTCAGATGCAGAAAGAGCAAGCAGTTGCTGAACAAAACCCACCTGAGATATCAAATATCTTATGCCCTGGTGAAGATCCTATGCTGCAGAGATTTGGTTGTGCTAGCACAAGTGACTTTAAAACACTTGACCCAGAGGAATACAATGTACGAGATATATCTGTGGCTAGCTATGAGGCACAATTGAATGAAGAATCTCGCCCTCTCAAATGCTCATGTGTCTCTAATGTTCATGAGGAAAACAAGGAATTTATGACTTTTGGACATGCAAAAAATCTAACCAGTTCTCATGCAAGCTATGAGGCACAATTGAATGGAGAGTCTTGCCTTCTCAAATACTCAAGTGTCTCTAATAATCATGAGGAAAACAAGGAATTTATGATTGTTGGGCGTGCAAAAATTCTAACCAGCTCTCCTGCAAGCAACCCTTCAAATTCTCATTCTCTGAATCCTCATGCTGAATTATATGCTACAGAGAATGCTGAGGAAGGTTTGGATTCATCCTCTCCACCAAAAGTTATCATGAAAATCAAGGATTGTGTTGCAGAAAGGGAGCTTCGATGTATAACTGAGGAAGCAATTAGTAGTGTTGAAATTCCAGAAATAGAGCCCTTGGGTACATTGCTAGTTGCTGTGGACCCCCTTTCTGATATTATTGTTGCTTCAGGTGACAAGTTGAAAGGAGTGGATGCTGGGTTTCAAGTGAGCAATCCCCCATTGCTGTGGAGAGATAGACCTTTAGATGCTTGGCTCAAAGGAATGGCAGAGGAATCTGTTGGCATCGGTAAGGAAGACCTTGTTCCTGATGAGGTTAGTGACATTGCCATTAGCATCTGTGACAATTGTGTTTGTGAATGCTATTTGTGCCAAAACTTACATTAAGTTCAACTCTGGATTTGTACTGCTCCTATTGGAGTTAATTACCATAATGATATTTTGGAAAAAAATATTACAATTTCAAATAACATTTTGGAAAAAATATGTGGTTTATTGTTAATTTTGAGGTAATGTAACTAGTCCTTTGTCTTAAAATTGATAAAATTGGTAGACTTATCTGTATCCATGTCGCTTGATGGTTAGCTGCATGCTCTTTCTATATACGCGCATATACACTTGTCTACTTGCACATGCACTTGCATCTAGATGCTAGATATTTATGGATATCTTATGTAAAAAAGAAATATTGATGACATACAACACGAGAGGTGAGGATGGCATCCTACGAGGCGGGTTCTCTACATAGCAAAAAATCGGCGAAGAAGTACAGAAAGACCCAAAGAAAATAAAAAACTGTCACAAAAGACAGGAGCTCAACACATGATGAACGTCATGGTACAGTCAGCTAGAGTCAAGAAGAACAAGAAAAAAAAAAAAAAAAAACCCACAAATACACCTTTGTCATGGGGAGCAAAGCTCGAGACGGTGGAGGTGGCTGCTTAGGCGGGCGCCATATACCTGGGTGGCCTGCTTCATGGGGGGGCCTCCAGACCCTTGCGGACTACTAGACCCCCACGTTATTTGAGTAGAGTATCATTTTTTTGTTTAATAATTAATACATATGGTTTAATAGTTTTCTGTGTATAATTTTGTTTTCCAGAACTACAGATCAAACTTAAACACACATGACTTTGAACCATGAATAAAATAGCTAAAAGCAACATTAAAAGAATGAAAATTACTAGCCATGACCAGCAAGTGTTACTTTTCATTACACTTATCCCAAAATGTGTAATATCCATTACATCTTGCAACAGACAACTGACAAGGGGAGAAAAATAACTCAGGGCATAAATTGACAAAAGTTGTCTAGCAGATAACAAATATGATGAATTCAAATATGAGGTTGAGTTTCATCATCACTGGCAACATCACGTCTACTTCCACTGCCACAGCCATCATGAAATGGACCTGAATCTAATAATGCTGCCAAGCCATCATTACAAGAGTCATCCTCCTCCTCATAACAACCTTCTTCCCTTGTTTGCTCTGTGTCTGCTACCTCCTCTACCGTCTTCCTTTTCTACACCTTCTCCTTCCCCTTACTCTAAGTTTGAGATCTTCTCATGGGGCTAATGCCATACCAGCCACCTCATGTACTTGGGTCCATGTCAAGCTCTCTTCCTCAAATGCTGGTTGATTCTTCTCCACTGACCATTCACTTGATCCAACCCAAATCTTTCACAGCTATGGGGTTGAGTATTTGATGCTGTTCCTTCAGCTTCTTATTGTTGGTATGTACCTGTTTCATAGTGCATTGCACTATTAAAATTTTATTACTTCAATAAAATATTGAGAAAGTTAGTGTGGTAGGAGATCAGGATAAATGGTAAATTTACAATCTCGAATGTGCTGAAATTGAGCTTGCATCCGAACATTGTACAAGCCAAGCTCAAAATCCTTTGAGCCATCGTTTGCAAGTTAGAGGCACTTTGTTTGTGGTTGGCCCACCATGAAACTATAATATATTAAAAATAAAAAGAGTACATATAAATTTGAAATAAGAAATAAGAATTTAAATAATACATGCACTTTCAAATTGCATAGATGTATTTTCGTCCTTTGCCTTATTGTGATATCCGTCCCAAGTGTCCCCATAGAGTAACGATACAAATAATGTTCCATAGACACTTTGTCTTGGACATCTAAGTCGGGTTGAGCTTCACATTACACCTGTTAATTGCTTCCATGAAACAACCCCTACTTTCTATCTCAGAATTAGTATAGTTATAAGTGGAGTTGAGATAGTACCCTGTTAGGTGTAAGGACTCTCCAACTGTAAATCTCATTTGTCATCTATAATTTTCAAATTGAGGCTATATCGCTATATTTACTTTCATCATTCTTCAAGTTCATCTTGATTTATTCTTTTACAATCTCCATGGCCTTGTAAATATGCCCCATTGCCGGTTCTTTTTCACCATCCACCAGGAGGAATACTTTTACAAGTGGCTAAAACAGATGCAATGCTGAACCCTAGTCCAAAATCAGGGTGTCACAACAATGTCATGCACCATTTTCTCCTTTGCCTCCTTTGACAACTTGTTTTCCTTCCAATCTGAAGAGACAAATAGGGTTCAAAGCTTGTCTTTTTGATTATTAAGAGAATCTGAAGTTGCAAACCTTGTGATCCTTGGCCTTGCCAAGTCAGCTCCTCCTGTAAACTTCCTCATTATGGCTAAAACATTGGTATAGTTGTAAATCAAAATTGTTATAGCTTTTGCTTAATCTATGATCACCTGCACTGTTTTTTCTGGCGTTGCCAAATCGCTAGGTCGCCTAGAACCCCCCCCCGGCTGCTTAGGTGCTGCCAAATGCTTTTTGAAACATTGGTGCCACTCATGGCATCTAGAAAATTTTCGCCCTCCTCATCACTAGTAATTTAGCAGCTGCCATATTGGGCTTAGCCATATTAGTGACAACTTGCATGACATTTGCCTCCCCCACCTCCTCAATACACTTATCTACTATTATAAATATGAAACTCGCATCATGAATCTTATTAGATGCATCGATTGACCTAAAAAAAGTTGTTCCTAAAAGACAATAAATCAGTAATTCATAAATCATAATATTGCTTGTCCTCTTATTGCTCAAGTATCTGTAATAATGGTCACCTCACACCTGCCCTATGCATCCTTGTGGGTCTTCAGGTACTCATTTGTGAACTCCACCTCTGTTTTCAACAAATCTTGAGCTCTTAAGGTGTAGGGGCCCTATATCATGGGCCAAACTGCCTCACTGCCTGCCTCCAACATAGCTTGGAAGCTCTTCAAACTGACAGTATTGAATGGCGGACTTGCTCGATAATACTATTGTGCTACATACTAATTGATCCCGATCATGCTTCTTCAATTGACTCTTTAGACTAGATTTTGACTATGCCTCCCTCGAACTACCACCTTAGGATCGAGAACGGGGAAGAATGCATCAATATCCTTCTTCGAGGCCTTTTATGGTCATATGTGCTTGGTTTAGATATAGAGGTCCCTTCCTCTTCCTCTTCATATTTTCTTCGAGGCCTTTTATGGTCATATGTGTTTGGTCTAAATATAGAGGCCCCTTCCTCTTCCTCTTCATTTTCATCATCTATTCCATAGATATTTACAAATCTCCCAATGGCTTCATATTGTTTCCTTCTCTTTTCTCTCTTCTTTCGGACCCATTGTAAAAGTTCCAACATCTCTTTCTGAACATCTCCAGGGACTTGAGTACATGACACTACTTCCCTTCTGATGCCGGCCAAATGCTTCTTCAATTGATTAATGCCAACATTACAAAATTTAAAACTCCCTTGTTCTTGTCATTAGTATTAGGACAAAATCCATATTTCGAACCCAGTTCAACTTGCTTATTTGAACTCGAAAAAGACATTGTTACCTACAACTTATCACCTAATCTTGAAAATTACACAAAACCACTAAAGTGAAATTTGAATGCATTTAAAATTGTTGATATGAAGAATATTAAATAATGATCATCTAAAAAATTACAAATAGGCAACAAAGTAGAAAGAATAAATATATTGCCCCTTCTCAATATTTTGATAATCCATGGAAGAAGTAAAGCGAGCATGATCAAGGGAAAAAACCTAAACCGAAAAAACCTTAGCAGGGACATCGGAAAACATAGAGAGAGCATTCTAGAGTTTGGGTTTGAGAGGATTAAGTCATTGTCTTATGAGTTTGAGTTGGCAGAGTTAGAGTATTTGAGTGCTGTGTGAACTATATGTGTGATTGTCACTAGGATCATCTACCCAGCTATTGTTATGAAGAGTGGAAGCTTTTTTCTAGTTTTTGCAAGTGTCATATGTAATTATTTCTTTGCTATTTCTTTCCTTATGCAGTTTAAGTTTATTGTCTGTATAAGAACTTGGCGTGTCATTTTTACTGGATTATTATTAATATATCTATCATTTTTATTTATTATTGCATAGAATAGAATTGTAATAGTATTATGAAAAAGATGAATAATGGACAACAGAGAAATAGAGGGGTAGATATACTAATAATAATCTAGTTTATATAAATGACATGCTTAGTTCTTATACAGACAATAAACTTAAACTGCGTAAAGAAAGAAATAGAAAGAAACACTTACATATGACACTTGCAAAAACTAGAAAAAAGCTTCCACTCTTCTGGACAATAGTTGGGTAGATGATCCTAGTGACAATCACACATATAGTTCACACAGCACTCAAATCTAACTCTTCCAACTCAAACTCATAAGACAATGACTTAATCCTCTCAAACCCAGACTCTAGAATGCTCTCTCTATGTTTTCTGATGTCCCTGCTGAGGAACCCGTGCCCCCTTTTAAGCGTATGGCGGACTTCAAATTGTCATTTCACGTCCGTAAAGTAAAAGCAAGTTTTCACGTGCTGAGGTGACTAAAGGTGTCGGTGGCAGATGCTCCATGTGAAGATATCAGTGAAAAGGTATAAACAGTGGTTTGAGCTGACCGAAAGGTGTGAATAGTATAAAGGTATGAATAGTAAAAGGAGGTTACTATTTTGTCGGTAAACTTCTCTGAGGACTTGTGTGCTTTGTAGACTGCAGTCGATTCATCCTCTATTATACGTTGTCCTATTGTGAGATTCCATAGTCCATATCCTCATTTTCCTGTTCATAAGTTTCTTCATTTTGGGTTGATGTTGACATGGCTTCTTCATCTTCATCGAATATTTGCAGCATCTTTTTCTTGAGCTCTTCTTTGGTTGCTTTAGGATATTGCTGATGAATTTTATTTAGGTAATCAGTCATATTCATATCTGTAGTGGGAGGTGGAGAAGATACTTTCTTCATTTTTAT